GTTCGTATCCAGGATCCTGTCACTGAGCTGATATCTGACACGGATGATAAATACAGTGTGTTTCAATCAGTACTCAGAACGCAGGGATGGAATGACTCCCCAGTGTTGTTCTAGAATGATAAATGTAGTGTTCTGAAACACACGGTGTTATATTAAAGGACTGCTGCTGCCAGGTCTGCAATTCTGATACACTTCAACTTCGACTGGAGTGTGTTTTAAAAGTACTGGCTAATCTACTATTTATATATTCTTTATTGATTTTCTGAACCAATCCAAAAAGACGTGCTCTTGTGGGACAGACGGATTAATAACCATGTCATACCGAATAGCTAGGGTCCAGGGTTTTACGTGGTTAAAGGGAAAACTCCAGCCCAAGGATATTTTTCCGCCTCCACTTGGAACTGTGGTGCCCTCTCTGCCTGGAGTGATGATCAACTCTGTCTCAGACAATGAGAGAGAGGGACACAACAACAGAGACAAAAACAAGAGCAGAGAGAGAGAGACACACCAACTGAGAGAAAACAGAGAGAGAGAGAGAGACAACAACTGAGAGAAAACAGAGAGAGAGAGAGAGCAACGAGAGAGAACAGAGCAGAGAAAGAACAGAGCAGAGAGAGAACAGAGCAGAGAGAGAGACATTTATAGGTTTTAAAGATGTTCTTTATATAAATCAATCCTCACCACATTACTTTTTGGGAGCACAAACTTCTAAATAAACTCGAACTAAACTCTGAGTTTCCTTCAAACTCAATAAGAGGATTAGCATTTGATCAGAGAGGATGTTTATAAACTGTTTTTTATGTATTTGAAAAATGAAAGACTAGAATGTTATTTTTAGGTTTGTTAATCACATTGTTTACTGATGCAGCTCTACACTGTGTTCCGAGCCCAGGCTGCATCCCACATGCCCTTTGTAAGGCCCTGGTCAACAGTAGTGCACTATCTAGGGAATAGGGTGTCATAGGGCCCTGGTCAACAGTAGTGTACTATCTAGGGAATAGGGTGCCATTTGGGACGCTGCCCAGTCTTCAGAGTGTGTGATGTGTGGAGCCAGACTCACAACCATTAGTTGGAGACTACTTTCATCTCCCTCCCTCTCTCTCTGTCTGCCCCTAAAGGAGTGTGCTCATGCATGCCGCCCTTATAATCAGACATTTGGATATTCAAATGAGTAAAAAAAAAAAAGCTTTATTCACACATGTGTAGTTGACTAACAGAATACATCTAAGGGGAAGCCGGAATGACTCGTCTGGTTATCCTTCTCCTCTGTATTGTCCACTACATCAATAGAACAGAGGCAGAGGGGAGAAAGGGGAGGGGGGGGAGTAGGGGAGGGTGAAAGGGGAGGGGTGGGGGAGGGTGAGGGAGGGGAGGGGGGAAGGGGAGGAAGGTGGGGTGAGGAGGGGAAGGGATGGGGAGGGGAGGGGTGGGGGTGGCGTAGCCCTTCATTTTCTTCCGCTTTTCTTTCCCTTTCCTTTTCTTCTCCGGTGTATCAAATTAAGCAGCTTTTTTCTCTCACCCACACACCCACCCACAACACACCACAACCCCCCACAACACACCCACACCCACCCCACAAGGACAGAAGAGCTGGTTGCCACCCAAGGTCGTCTAAACACACTGCTATCCCTAAAAACAAAACACACACACACTAACCCTAACAGAACACACACACACACTAACAGAACACACACACTAACAGAACACACTAACACTAACAGAACACACACACTAACAGAACACACACACACACACTAACAGAACACACACACACACACACTAACAGAACACACACTAACCCTAACAGAACACACACACACACTAACAGAACACACACACTAACAGAACACACACTAACCCTAACAGAACACACACACACACTAACAGAACACACACTAACAGAACACACACTAACCCTAACAGAACACACACACACACTAACAGAACACACACACTAACAGAACACACACTAACCCTAACAGAACACACACACACACTAACGAACACCCACCTAACATACACACACTAACCCTAAACAACACACCCCACACACACTAACATAACCCACACCACTAACACCACCACACACACTACTACACAACGCCCACACACACACCCCCCTAACAGAACACACACACTAACAGACCCCCACCCTAACAACCACACACACCCTAAAACCACTACACACACCACACACCCTAACAGTAACACACTACACACTAACATAACCCCACTACACCCCTAACCTAACCCACACACCCCACACACTACACAGAACACCCCTACCCTAACCCCAACACACCACACATACCCACCCACACACTAACGACACACACACCCTAACAGACACACACACCACCCAACACACCCCTAACACTCCACCCACACACCACACTAACAGCACACCCTCAACCCTAACATACACACACCACACTAACCAACCCCAACACACCCAACACACACTAACAAGAACCACCACACTAACATCACACACACGACCACCACTACAAACCACACCACCTACAAACACACACCCCCTACCACACACACACACACTACACACTAACACACCCCCACTAACCGACACACCACCCCAGCACCACCACACACTAAACATACACCCACACCACACAGAACAACACCACACACACCCCAACAAAACCCACCCTAACAGCACACCACACTAACAACCACCACACTAACAACACCACACCACTAACATAACACCACACACCTAACAGAACCACACACGACACTAACTAACAACACACACACTACGCACACACCCTAACATAACACACCCACCCCTACACAAACACCCAACACTAACAGAACACACACACAACACTAACAACACCACACACCACTAACATACACCACACCACAACATAACCACACCCACTAACAAACACACACCCACTAACATAACACACACACTACAAACACACTACACGACTAACACAAAACACACTAACAAACACACACCAACAACACCCCACACAACACACCACACCTAACATAACCACACACACCTAACATAACACACCTCACAGACACTACACAGAACACAACCCACTAACAAACCCAACACCCCACTACGACATAAGCACTAACACACCCACACGAGCCCTTATTTATCAGACTCCTCTCATAGGAAGCTCAACGCTGCCAGGTGACTAGTATCATGTAGGGAGGGTGGTCTCTGTGTGTGTGTGTGTGTGTGTGTGTGTGTGTATGTGGGTATGTGTGTGTGTGTGTGTGTGTGTGTGTGTGTTGTTTGGGTTGTGTGTGTGTGTGTGTGTGTGTGTGTGTTGTGTGTGTGTGTGTGTGTGTTTGTGTGTGTGTGTGTGTGTGGGTGGTGTGTGTGTGTGTGTGTGTGTTGTGTGTGTGTGTGTCTGTGTGTTTGTGTGTGTGTGTGTGTGTGTGTGTGTTTTGTGTGTGTGTGTGTGTGTGGTGTGTGGTGTGGTGTGTGTGTGTGTGTGTGTGTGTGTGTGTGTGTAGGGGAGGATGTAATCACCATGACAGTGATGAAAGATAAATGTCCCATGGGGCCGTCCCTTAAGCCTCTGCACATGTGCACCACACTGTGCACACACACACACACACACACACACACACACACACACACACACACACACCGCCTCCCACTGAAAATATGACTACTGTTTGTTTGCCATGCTATGCTACGTAGCGATTGATAAATTAGCCTGTTGTAGCTTCGGCCTAGCATGCAGCATACTATTGCACTCCCTTTCTGGCTATGCCTGTTAACTGCTGCTATATTTATGCATATGTTTACCAATTTATATGTATATTTAATATGCAAATTGTCATTGATTATTGCCATTAACAGACGATTAATTCAGTATGTTAATAATCCTAACCCTAACCCTCACCTTAACCCTTACCCTTATTATAAACCTAACCATCACCTTAACCCTAGACCTAACCTTAACCCTTACCCTTACCCTAACCCTTAATCTAAATCCAACCGTAAGCTTAACCCTAGCCCTATCCTTAACCCTTATTCTAAACCTAACCTTCACCTTAACCCTAGCCCTAACCTTAACCCTTATCCTTACCCTAACCTAACCCTAACCCTTATTCTAAACATAACCGTAACAATAACTCTTATTATAAACCTAACCCTATCCTTAACCCTTATTCTAAACCTAACCATCACCTTAACCCTAGCCCTAACCTTAACCCATACCCTAACCCTTATTCTTAACCTAACCTTAAGCTTAACCCATTCTCATCGACGGGGCTGTAGTGGAACAGGTTGAGAGCTTCAAGTTCCTTGGTGTCCACATCACCAACGAACTATACATTTACATTTACATTTACGTAATTTAGCAGACGCTCTTATCCAGAGTGACTTACAAATTGGTGCATTCACCTTATAGCCAGTGGGATGGGGTAAGGGGGGGGTAGAATGATTACTTTATCCTATCCCAGGTATTCCTTAAAGAGGTGGGGTTTCAAATGTCTCCGGAAGGTGCCGAGGGGTGCGCTCGGTGTCAGCTTCGCCCTCCCCCCGCCTCTTCGTCTCTGTTTAACTGATTTACTGTACTTATCAATGTGTGCCTCATGTTTTAGACAGGTTTAAAAAGGACTGCTAAAATGTAGCAGAATCGTGGCTTTATATTAACATCTTAGAGCTAGCAACATTGATAAAATATGTAAAAATCTAAGTGACAATAGTGTTCTAGAAAGTCTATGGCTGAGCGACAGCTCCATAAACCAGTTAAACTTTTTAGTGTGATAAAAACACACTGGGTGACAAGACTGGATCTTTTCAGCTAGCACAAAGTAATTTAATCTCAGCTGCCTCCAGGCTCTCAGACCCCCACTGTGCCCCTACCAATGAGCTGGGCAGTGTCATCGTCTGAGGGGTGGGAGTCCACCCCTCCCTCCTCAGTATCAGAGTCTGACTCCTCCCTCATATCCCAGGATGGGCGAGTCACAGTGAGTGGGAGAGCCTAGGCACTGGGCGGTGGTTACTGTAGTGACAGTGGCAGAATAGGCCCCTGGATTGCCAGAGGGGAAGCCTGGGTTGGATGGGCGGAGCAGAGGGGTGCGCTCGGTGTCAGCTTCGCCCTCCCCCCCTCTTCGTCTCGACCACTTGCCCTCTCATCCTCAGACTCGGACTCAGAGTACTCCGGATTGGGCCGGGTTACACGTTGTTTGCACACAGGGCAAGTTTTCTTAGTCCCTGTAAGCCAGGGATCCACACACTTGCTGTGGTACGCGTGTGAGCAAGGCAAAACTCGCAGTTTGTCTCCCTCTTCATCCAGACAAATAGCACAAACATCATATTCATCACCTTTAGTGAACTTGGTCAGCCTATTTTTCCTCATCCTTTTCCTGTACTGCACACAACGCACAATCAGGAAGACAACCATCACAAGGATGATCATGCCCACCACTCCGGTGAAGGGGATGAGATAGTACGAGAGTGGGAAGGCAAATTCCGGCTTGAGGATCACATAGGCCCCTTGTTCAGGAATGATGAAGGTCCTGAGAATTTGGGAGGCGTAGTAGCTGGTGAATACTGAGGGGATCTCAATCTCCTCTGCAATGGTTTCATTGCTGTAGTTCATGTTGAGTAGAGTCTCTGAGTACATGTTGAGTAGAGTCTCTGAGTACATGTTGAGTAGAGTCTCTGAGTACATGTTGAGTAGAGTCTCTGAGTACATGTTGAGTAGAGTCTCTGAGTACATGTTGTGAACGATGGCTGCACTGAATCCAGCTTGCTGTGCATGCAGCACCTTGATATCAAAATTGCAGTCACAGCGTCGGATGAGGACTATGAACTTAGTAGTGGTAGTGTTGGGATCACTAGATGTGGGCCGTGGTGCTGGAGGTTCTATCGGAGTGACTAACCCTAACCCTAACCCGTTGAGTGGACGGGACTCTACTAACCCATAAGTCCCTCTTGTGGTGA